TTTTGGGAAGTGCAGACACTTAAGAAGTTGCTCTCTTAAGAATAACACACCTACAAGAACCCCTAGAGTAAACGCAGTAATTTTGGTTTTGTTTGTTTGCTTTGTTTTGTTGAGGTGCAATGCAAACTGGCTTCATTTACCTAAACTGAATTTTGTGGAGAACTTCATTATTCAGCCACACCTGATGCACAGTTTCTCCCATAACTCTCTGCAGTCATGTATGTGTGTCTCTGTATACGGCTTTTGAATTTATCTTCCTTGTAGCTCTGTATGCTGGTCTTCTATTTAAGGTCTGTTTTCCATCGATGGACAAAAGGAATCAAGCAACAGGACCAAGCAAGGATGTAGACACTTCCAGTTGTAGATGTTAAATCTAAATTTGCCAACTGAAAAACTCTTATTCGTGGATTGCATAGTGGTAAAGGAGCTTTGTAACCAATTTGGTTTCAATTTGACATTTCTGATTTTCCCCATGTACTTAGAGTTGGGTCACTGAATTGCACAGAACAGAAACAGCCTTAGCAGGACTGGGCACCTGCTCTTAACGAGGAGCCAGAGATTAATCATGGATTCCTTCAGTGTACACCAGCATCCTTTAGAATCAATGAAGAGGAGCAGGCACATCTTAGTGACTCTTTCTTCCTCATCCTAAAGTAAATGTTTAAAATAAATCAGATGATCAGATGACTACAACAGCTTATTTCCCCCTATTGACTCCAAAAAGAACATGAAGTGTATATATAAATTCCAACAATGTAGACATAGAAAGCCAGGTGAATTTGGGCCTTCACATCCCTCGAGGTGTGAAGGGCAGCATCAATTAATATTCTCACAGCAGCACACTTGTACACTGGCAGACAGATATTTTCTTTTAAAACATGTTGTATAAAGTATTTCCCACTTTTTTTTTCTTCTACTGTTAATAGACTTGCTGTAAGTGTACTCGCCTAGCAAGCAAGAAACAACTGACTTGTTTCTTACTATTGCATGAACTATAAGCCTGCTAGCTTGTCCCCAGCTTGCCATGTCTCCTCCATCTTGTCTAATTGGGAGTAAAATATTGCATTTATTATGTTCCTGTATAAAAAAATGACATACACATACACCATACCTATTTTTTCTTTCTACTTTTTTTTGGTGCTCTTCTTTATATATATATATATATATATATGTATATATATGTATATATATATGTACACTTTATATAAGACAGAAGGCATTTGACACATCTGGGCAGTACAATATCACCTTTCAGTCCATTCTCCATCTCTGATTCTGTTGTTAGTATCAGACAGGGTTTATTCACTCTAAAACTGAGAAAAATCCTAATTAGCATTCCCATAGCCTCTTTTTTTTCCTTCTTCTTCTTAGAGTGGTAGGGTGGTTAGCGAGCTGCTTGGAGACACTGGTTGTCCCTAGTGACTTCTTAGTGCTCCTTCCACCCCTTCAATTTTCTGTATGCTTGAGTTCCTCAGAGAGCAGAGATTCGGATCGTGTTCAGTCTTGCCCAGTGTGTCAGTGTTTTTAGATGCTGCTGTCACAGACAAGAAAAGTGTTACCAATAGCAGGCATAAAAAATGTAGTAATTATTCTCCCCATTCAGGTGCTTGTTCTTTTTTACTTACTGGTGATATTCCTGCACATTGGTGCAGAAAGTTTTCATTTTGTTTTCTTTTAAAATGGCGTCAAAAACATCAGGAGAAATTTTCTGATAGGAAAAACAAATAATCCACTGTCAGTGGAGAAGAGGATAACTATTTCTATGGATTCTGTAAGATGGCTGAAAAGGAAGGGAAGTGGGAAGGGAAGGAAGAGACCAAGGGAAAATAGCCTTATATATATTTGCATTTGTTGGGAGTCTAATTAGAAGGTCAATAATAGGTAGGAGGGGTATCACTGCCATAGTTCCCCTGTCCATTTAATTTTCTGAGGTTTTAGTGTTTGCTCCACCTGCTCCAAGCATCTGGCACGGTGAACTCTGTGACTCTAGGCTCTGATTTATGGGGAGTCCTTGGGGACATGCATGTAGGAGCAATGTGGCATCCAGCATGACAGCGTCTGCACAGTGCCACTTGTTCTGCTTGTGTGGGCATCGTATCCCTCATCTGCTGCAGGCTACTTATTACCTTCTCAGTCAACTGAGTGTCTCAGGTGCCCAGGGAGAGATGTCTGCTTTCCGATTCCCTCATCTCACACACAGTCCTTGGGGGAGAAGTGCCACGACAGCCCAGCAGAGCATCTCTCTTCTCCCTAGATCCCTCTGGCATTTTTTTCCTTCCAGGAACACCATACGCTAGGATATAATTTCTCCTTTGATCATGCTTTTCCTCCTTCTACAGACACATCCCTCCTCTCCTTCTCTCAATATATGTTTGTTTGTTTGTTTTTTACAGATGTCCATGTCTTTTGTTTATCTGTTTCCAACCTCCTGACCTTCCAGGAATTTCACAGCCCATGCCCTAGTTGATGGGAAAGGTGATTCTGGAGGCGAGTGTGGCTGTAAGGTAGGGAGAAAGAAGAAGGATGCTCCTTCCCCACCACCCTATGGCAGTGTCAGGAGCAGGGAAACCGGTGGACTGGGCTGGTCTATTCTCATCTAACTTACTTACCTCTATTCTTGCAAATGTTAGGGTAGATGCCCTTGAAGTTGAGTAATGAGAACATTACAAGCACACGCAATCTGAATATATTCTCTGCCCTGGGGAGGCCATGGCCTTGGCTTCAGTTGCTGCAGCAGCCAGAGGAGCTGGGGAAGGATCTAAAGCAGCTTCTGACTGATGGGCTCCCAAAAGGCTTGAACTGAACGAGGAGGTGGAGGCTAAAGAGGCCAGGTTGCACACCTGATAAGCACATTCTGGGTCTCTATCCTTCATCCTTTAGGATGAAAGGAGCAGTCAAGTTGGTGGAAAAGAGACAGCAGCAATGAGACAGCAGTGGGGAGAAGGGAGGTTAGAAACACGTCTGGGGCTGAAGCAAACACTGTCCCTTTTCCCTGTCCCCAAAGAACTTTACCAAAGGAATCCCAGGTGGGCAGATGTGCAAGAAAGGACACGACAGAGCTTAGATGTGGCAAAGCCTCTGGGGGAGCCCTGATCAAGTGGCAGCTGGGTTTTTGGTCAGTTAGTAGTCATCTGAAGAAAAAAAAAACTAAAAAAATAAAAGGAAAAAAACAAACGATAATATTATAAGCAGCCATCCAAAGTGCGGGGGGTGGGGGGAGGAATAGCAGGGAGTGCCAAGCTGTGGAGCAGCAGCACAGAAATTCTGTTAATTCTCGAAAATGGATGCGCAAGCTAATCCTTCGCTGCAAATACAGCCTGGTAAATGGTCGGACCCAGCAGCCTTTTAAATGCCAGATCAGCTCTTACTTAAATGACATTTTGCTGTATTTATTTATTTATTTACTAAGAATAGATTTGAATAAAGAGATGATCCCAGCGTGACTGTTGTGCAGTGACGGTTTGTGGCTGTTGTGTGTTCTTGCTGTTGCTGCAGTAGCAGTGCAGGGAGGTGCTGAGTTGCTCGGGGCTCAGACTACCTCAACCCACCTCCTGCACATCGCGATGCACCTGCACGTCCCCCACAGCCCGTGCTAAGCCGCGGTGCTCTGCGCTGCACCCCTGCCCTGCCGCCTCCGGCACCCGTGGTGCGATGCAGCCAGCAGGGTGAGGAGAGGAATTGCTGAGTGTGTGAATGAGTGTTGGGTGTGTAGGGATGAGTGTGTGAGGAAGGAGGAGAAAAAGGAGCCGGGGAAAGAAGGGGGAGCTTTGAGAAGATGCAAAGATGCTGGAGGAGCAGGTAAAGCTTAGGCTGGCTCCAGGAAAAAAGGGTTGTCCAAGACAGGTGTATGAGTGTGGGGGGACACAGGTGCTGAGGGGCTTGGGGCACGGTGGGAAGCAGGAGAAGGTCCAGAGGGCACCAAGCTTGTGTGCAGAAGGTAGGCAGCCAGGTAAGGTGCCTGTGGGTTTGCCACAGTGCTGCATGTGGAGCTAGGGAACGGCAGCACCTGTGGGTCCAGGGAACCAGGCTGGGCTGGCAGAGCTCCAGGGGATGGAGCCTGGCGGGAAGAGAGGGGTGGCTGCGTGTGGCACCTGCCTCGGAGCTGGCACAGGAGGGTGGCAGCCTGAGGGGAACAGGGCTGGTGACTCGAGCTGCCCTTGGTCAGGGCATCGCTCCCATTGCTCTTTGTCCCATCGTGCCTGGTGTTCTTATTCAAGAAAGGGGCAAGAGATGGAGGGGGCAACCTGTCCTCCCAGTGGCGAGCAGACCCTCCTCTCAGCTTGGGAGGAGGCCGCTTTTACCCTCCTTTACTGCCCCCTCGTTGGGAAGAAGCGGGCAGAGCAAGGGGCTGCCTGGCTGCTTGGTGTCCTAGAGGGATCTGTGCCACTTGGTGGCACTAAAAAGTTGCGCGGGAGCCCGGCGCGGTGCGGGGAGCAGTGGCGGGACCGGGGGTGACGGCGGAGCACCCGGGGATGGCAGAGCACCCTCCGCACCCAGGTAGTACCTTTGGGTGACTGCTGCAGCCCTGGAGCGAGGTCGGGTTTATCCCGCTTGCAGAGCGGATGCGCCGGCTTCGCCGCGAGCCTTTCGCAACCTTGTGGGCACCTGGAGCAGCCTCGGCGGGGGCGGAGCACAGCGTTAACCCCCCGTGAAGACAGAGAGGCTGGTGCCCTGTGTGCCTGAGGAGGGAGGGAAGGAGATGCTCAGCGAGGTGGCTCGAGCTGCAGCAAGTATTTAGGAAGAGCGAGGTGGCAGTGGCAGAGAGCGAAGACCCATCTGTTGTTCCACTGCTTGTTTGTTTATCCCCCCCAACCGCTTTCTCAGCTCCCTCCCCCTCTCCCCCTTCCTTAAAATCCAGGGACCATTCACGCTTCTTGCAAATGAGCCTTGGGCGCAGCTGAGAGCGCGGCGTGGTGCGCGGCGTGTGCGTGGATGCCATCCCGCGCCGGGGGGCGGGGAGGGTCCCCAGCTCTCGGCGCTCGCCTGTGATCAAAAGAAAACAGGATTTGCCTGGAGCTGGAGCGGTGACAGTACGAGCCGAGCGGGGCTCACCTGCTGGCGGTCTTTGCAGAGGCATTTGAGGATTATTCAGCTCCGGAAGGTCTGTGCGAGGAAATGCTATCTCTGCAAGTAGGAGGAGGTGCCTACCCCTACCCGCCTTGATTATTGCCACCGAAAGGACAGCTCTGCTTTACCGTAGCAAGAGGAGATTGCTAGCGCAGACAAGGTAATGCTGTGGGACTGGGGAGGGGGGATTTATCTGCCCCGAATTGCCAACGCAAACCCTGGGGATGCAAGGAGCACTGTCCCCCTCTCTCTCCCTCCTGCCTTGCTTGCCGGAGGATGAGCACGATTCTGCCGGGGAGGTAGCCCGCTGGCGAGTCTCACCTCCGGGGTCTGCGGGGGCATCGGCAGGTCGGGGTCCCGGGCACTCGCCCACCCCCTGGAGCAGGGGATGCGTGATGTGGGGGTGGGGGAGCATTGGGGCACTGCAATACCTGGATCGGTGGGTTTTGTGACACAGCCCAGAGATTTGCCCTGCTGAGCAGGGAGAATGGAAACGGGATGCATTTATTTTCCAGAGACAGCCAGGCTTAGCTCAGCCGTAGACATTCCTGTGTGACCTTGGGACAAATCACTTTGGCTCTGCTCGGCAAGTCCCGTCTGTTCCTTATTTAATAACCGGACCTAATGTCTCCATGAGTAACCATGATTCACGAAGGGCTGAGAGGGGCTTTAATGTCAGTAGTCGAGCAGGGAGACAGACACCTAAGCATCAGTATATGTGCACACATAAACGAATAGCCATATGTCAGGGCAGCACAGGTAGCGATGCCAGGAGTTAACCTTCCTTCCTACAAGACCCAGCTCTGTCTACCTAATGTGGGGATATAAAAGTGCTCCAGCATGGTAACTGTGACCACTATGGCAATTTTGCCACTGAAAGGATGGTACATGAGGTTCCATTGGTGTTTTTGATCTCCCCTTCACCCGCTCCCGGTGCATTCAAGCTGCGCGGCGGGCGCGCTCAGCACCAGGGACAGCGGCGGGGCCCGCCGGGAAAAGTTCGGGAGGCGCCGGGGCAGCTCCCGGCTCCGTTGCCCGTCGGCAGCAGCTTCTCCTCCCTGGGGGCTCATCCTCGACCTCCCAGACCCCCCCCCTTTTTTTTGGCGAGGAGGAGAACGGTATATGACCGGATCTGGGGAGAGGGAGGTGCTGGACATCTGTTCCTTGCAGTCACTGAGAGAAAAAAGAGAGAAAGAGCAGAATCCTTTTGGAAAAACACTATTCTTAACCATCCTGAAGGGAGAATGTGTCCAGAGGAGTTAACTGCAAGGTTCTCTTCATTCTCTTGTATTTTTGTTTTCTTACTTCTGTATTTCTAAATATTTCCAGTAGATAGTAATGTTTTGCATGCTCTCAAAGAAGACTTTAACAAGGCGGTAATATTTATGCTGTGTAATATTTATGCTGTATTATGGTTGATCATTACTGCAAAGGACCAGAGAGGACTGCTTGGGTACCTATATAGGTTACTTGGCATTTCATTTGCTCGTATATGTATGGCTGTTTTGGTAGGGTGGTAGCACTGGAATGCTGTGCTGTGCTTCTCTTGTTGTGATTTGCCGTGATTTGTTTTCTGGAACTGCTGTTGCTTGTTCTCGATCACTTCCTTTGGATCATACAGGTTTGTTAATTAATAAAATGCCTGGAATTACAGCTGAAAGCACACCAGAGCTATTAGCTTCTGTATGATCTGGTATAACAGCTTTTTGGTAATAGCAGTAATAAGTAGTGTATTTGAGGGAACTGCAGAGATCATTGCAAGTTTTGGTGACATGTCAATCGCTCACTTTTTTTTTTTTTTTTAATGGTTCATTAAGGTGAATGTGTGTGTGTGTCAGGGTCAGAGTATGAGGAAGAACTGTCTAGGATTGCTGTGGGTCTTCATGATAAAAATAATATTCTATACTTATTGCCTATAAAGGCACAAGATCTGCACACTAGTTGACTATTTTCAGTGGCTGTTCTGACCAGTTAGGGTTTTTTTTTCAGTGTTGTTTATTTTCCTCATATTTTTAAGCAGAACTGGAAAAAAAAATCTGTTTCGTAGTCCCTCCTGTTGTATAAGGCTGTTCGCTTTGTCTAATGGCTTCATCCAAAGCCTACTGGAATTCAAAGATTAGTGAGTTATGTTAGTGAAATGACTAACAGCTATTTGATTTATTTTAGTGAATGGCTAAATGACAGTAGAAATCTCAAAATAAAGCATGTATGTACTGCAAACTGAGCCTCTTTATAACATTGAGAACTACCTTGAATACCTTGAACTCAGTGCTTAAAGCTTTCAATATCAGTAACCAGCAGACCTAGGCAGAGGCTTAACAACCTCAAGGAACACTTTTTTTTTTTTTTTCTCAAATAGATTCCTGTTGAGGAGAGCTAGGAGGTCTCTGTCCTTATATAATTGTTTTTCAAGGTAGTTCTATCTTTTTCTATCCAAAGTGCTATACTGTAAGATAAGGATGAGGTAAAGTTGCAGGACTGACTCTGTGAACTGGTATTTCAGCTCTGCTTTCTAAGTTTTATCTTCTCTTATGCTGAAATCTGTGTTAGTTCCTTGGAATATAGTGATTTGATTTATATACGGTTAATATCTGATGTCACTGAACTGGTTACAGTATGTGCTGTAAATGAATGCTTGAAAAACATTTCATTGGCAGTTATGTGTCTGCAGGCTGTAAGTAGCATTTGTCATTGCATGCAGGTTTTAGTATTGTGGCTTTTTTCTTTTTTTTTTTTTTTTTTCTTTTTTTGGGGGCGGAGAAGGGGGAGGGAAAAAGAGAGCAAATTGGAACTTTGCTTTATAAATATATTATTGCAATATACATATTTTCTTTTGACTCAGTAAATCCTTTAAAGAGATGTTTAACTTTAGGTGAGTCCTTGGAGATACATAACCAATAGGATTCTTCCTGTGCTTAACGCTGACCACATTCTTAAATGCTTTTTAAATGCAGTGTACCCTGAATCCTCACTCCATCCCAGGACTTTTCTGTGGTTCAGTAATCCATATTTTTACTTTTATTGTTTTAATTTGGTGTAAGCTTCAAAGACTTTCAAAGCTTTTTTCTGTTTCTGAAGTTCCTAAATTGTAGTAAAGAGGAAATCTGAACAAAAATATTGCTCTTGCTCTCTTTGTTTTTTCCTGATAAAAATACAGTAAATCAAAATCTTCTCTTTTATTGGATTTGTACCTTACCTATAGAAGCGCAATCGAGAGGATTCAGACAGCAAAATAGGCAGATTCTTCCCTCTGAAGTCACTAGTGGGCGCTGCTATAATAACGTAAGTCACAGGGGAAACGAATTCTTAAGACTTAAACACAGTTATAGTTGCTGATATAGAAAATCTTAAGTGCCTCATGCATAAAGTCCCAGCAATGCTTATAAAAACTAGCCCTTTCCTGAGCTACTATTTGACTTCTTTATTTTTTGAACAAGCAAGAGTTAATTAATGCAGGTTAATAATAGGGCTCGTTGTGGTCTGTGCAGACTGTAATTATAGAAGTACTTGCTTTTGAGGTTGAAATAAATCGCTTTAAGAACTATGTGATGTTTCATGGAATATTACAGATGCTCATTTTCTGGTCGGTTAGATCTCAACATGAAGTAGCTGGAACTCTGCCCTAAAGGAACAGCTGAGAATTTTTCCTGACAGAGGCTGACATTAAGTTTCCCTGTCAGGGAAAGCAGAGGTTATAGGAACACGTTGGGTCCCTTATCAGATCTGTGAATTCATCACCTTTTCATCACCTAAGAAAACTCTTTAATTTCTTTCTGAAGAAGAGCAAAAAACAGATTGGCAGGATCATCTTTCCTTTTCCCTACTTCTGCAGTTGCTCCAAGTGTGAAGCTAGTGCCACAAAGGAGAGAGTCGTGTGTCATTTATTGTTTTAGCATGGGACTTCAGGATTAATTTAGAGTTAGATTCACAGCTGAAATAAGCTAAGAACCTTGATACACCAGTAATTAAGTGCCTGATTCCATTTTGCCTATGTTGCAGTAAATTAGGAGTAACTCCCTTGATGCCAAAGAAATTGAACAGTGTGAAAGAAAAATTCTGACCTTAAGTGATGTGCAGGTTGATTTGCTTGTCCATCAATGAAAACAAGGAAATGCAGATATATTATTAACCAGGAAACAATTCCCACTACTTGATGCATGGTTTCAAGAGCTCACTGTCTTTGATGCTGTTATTACCTCTGTTCTCAGCCTGAAGACTACAGCATATGAGATTCCCTTTAGGGTTATCCCTAAAAATTAACACAGAGGTTATTCTTAGGCTTATAAAGTTTGCTTAATTCTGTTTGAATAATAATGCTTCCTGGATCAATAAGCTTGCTGTAGCAGGAAATAATGGGAAAAAAATTACAGAGTCACTTACATGTGATTCTCCTGGGACAGGGTAGCAATAAAATAAAGTATTTGTACAGTTCCTTTGGCCATCTTTTCAGGAAGGACTGGAGGTGTTCTCCAGGAAACGTAATTAGTGTACCAAACTACCAGGTCTCTGCTCAACCTTCTTTTTGCCCCAGTTGGATGTTCCACATGACTACTCTCATGCCATCTTCTAGTGGCATATTCAGTGAACAGATAAGAGTTAATGAGCACAAACTCAGGAAATTTCATTTAAACACTTATTTGCTGTGAGGTTGGTCAAACACTGGAACGGATTGCTTGGAGAGGCTGCACAGTCTTCATCCTTGAAGGGATTCACATCTCAACTGGACACAGCTCAGTGCACTAGCTCCACTGCTAGCCTGCACTGGCTGTCCCTGCATTGAGCAAGGTGTTAGACTAAAACATTCCCAGAGGTCCCCTACAACCTCAGCAATTCTGTGATTTTTATGAACTATGGGAGCAAGAGTAGGCTCATAGTCAGAGACCTGTGTCTTTATTATACAAATCCATACTTAGCAGGCTCACTTAGCTGTCAATGTAAATTCCAGATAATTCTGCTGCATTGTAAAAGTCCACAGAGGTGTAGACTTCATATCCTTCGGACGTGAGTCCTAGACCTGTATCATAAAACAAACAGTTTTCTTGGTGCAATTAACAACAATATTGTAGATCCCAAATGAACTGGCTTCACTTCAGTGCAATGGAGTATCTGAAATAATTCCATTAATTCTGGAGCAATTCCAGGTGAATCTGGCCCCTTCTTGTCCTCTGGATACCATGAAGTGTAAGGATTTGATTGCTCTTAGAATTTCCTTTTTGTCCCTAGGAACTCTGTAGCCATAAGGTCTACAGATATAGTTGAATGAGAAATATGAAGGAGACCTTCGAATTTACTTCTTTACCATGTTATTTTAAACGGATATGGCTGTAGACTAAGAACAGTGAGCATCTGTTCCTTCAAGTGGAGGTAAAAATGGCTTTGCGGCCCCTCTTCCCCACATATCCTATACAGTAATTATTTAACCCACAGACATAATTACAAAGAACAGTTTTGTTAAACTTGACCACAGTCCTAGGCAATGTGTTTTGTAGAATTAAAATAACAGAATCCCAGAATGGTTGAGATTGGAAGGGACCTCTAGAGATCATCTAGTCCAACCCCCCTGCTCCAGCAGAGACACCCAGAGCACGGGGCACAGGGTGGCATCCAGGTGGGTTTGGAAGATCTCCAGAGAAGGAGACTGCACAACCTCTCTGGGCAGCCTGTGCCAGGGCTCTGTCACCCTCACAGGAAAGAAGTTCTTCCTCACATGGAGATGGAACTTCCTGTGTTTTAATTTATTTCCGTTACCCCTTGTCCTGAAATGTTGGATAGGGAACAAATTCACCTGGATCCACCCAAATCCCAAATCCCCAGATCCCTCTATCTGTGCATAGGCAGGTATGGTTATAAGAAGGAGACTCATTTTAACTCTAGTTATGGTCTAACTGGAATGCCTCTTCTCATTCACCCCCAAGACTGTTTACAGGTTATATGTACTACCTTCAGAGTCACAGGAAAAGCAGTTGGAAGACATAAGCAGCAATGATTTTTTGTAATTTAGAACTAGTCAATCTGAATTGAATTCCCTTATTGTGTAGGGGCAAAGGATTGCAGTATTGATAATTTAAGTCTTCATAGGCTATAAAATGTTAAGAGTGTTCTACAGTTCTCTGAGCTGTTTCATTATTGATACTTTCTATTATCATTCTAATTTCTATAAATTTCTATTTGAAATTAATATTACATGAAGCAATTAATTTTACAGGAACTATTTCTGTCAATGTTTTCACTTTTCGGATATTCATTTAGAATTACTCACTGAAGTTCCTACATGAGCTTTCCTCTCTGTAAACATTTTCTCTAATTTATAAGTGTCACGATAAAACAATAAAAAAGGCTATCCTCAAGTAGAAAATTTTAGGTTTGAGTATCTCATCTTCAAACTAAGAACTTTGTTTTCACTGTGGTACCATCTTGAATGATATAGTTGTGATTGGTGAGCTTAACACTAAACTCCTACTTGATTTTGATCCTGTTTGAGTGTCTATCACTTTGTGGTGTCTCAGAATTGTCAGAGAGGTCTTTGGCATCAAAGCCATGTAAAAAGAGACTGCTGGGTCTGGTTTGTATGGAAATTCCTATTTTTATTTATTTTTTATTACAACGAGGGATTTATGTCAGTAATACCGAGATCAGGCTCTGGCCCAGAGTTTTACCATTTTGTCAATAACGAAAGTGGGCATGTGGTACATTGGCAACATCTTAAATTTAAGTGTGTGTCTAACTTTCTGTACTGTCAGTGAATCTGTTGGCAGGAGCAATGAATGATACTTTAATGTACACAAGGATTAAGACCTGTAGAAACTACTGTTCAAACAACATACTTGAAACCATAATCAGCATGCTGCAATCCATTTCTAGGTACAGGGCATTTTCTCGTTCTGTTAACCAGAAACCAAGAATCCAGCAACCCAGGACAGCTGTTTTTTTATTTATTTTTTTACATCTTTCATCAGTAACAAAGCCAAGTGCATATTGCATTTCAGACTCCTTAAACAGCAGATCAAATATTTTAGATTTTAGGCACAGCACATCTCTGTAGTGTCTGTGTTGTTTTCTTTCTACCAGCAAAGCCTATATACCTGTCTACAGCAACAGGATTTATTGAAACAGTGGTGATTTTTGATTTAAGAATAGGAAGAGATGAAAGAGATTCCACTACTATGATATTTCTGAAGTGGGACAAATCCATTGCTTCATTACTGAAGCATTCACCATTTTACACAAATGCAAATATTAATTAAAATAAGTTAGGACTGAAAAAGCTAATTTCTTTGAAGTTAATTTCTCTGTTTCATACTGCATCTTACAAAACAAAAACTGAAGTTTGAGGAAGATTTGAAAGACTGGATTCTACATTCCTTAAAATATTTCAAGAACAGCTCTGCTTATCAACAGCAGTTTCCTAGGGTTTTCACTGTGTAATTGGCAACACAGCTTGGCCTACATTATACTGGTGTGATGTATATATTCATGGTATAGACTGAGTCTGAAAGTAATTGGAGTTATTTTCAAAGACATGCATTAGAAACGGCAACATCATTCTCCTCTGTAATTAGATACCTGTCTGCTTTTGTTTTGTTTGGGCTTTTTAAAACATTTCCCTAAATAATTTCATACAACAGTGTCTAAATGAATGACATTGATTTATAGCAGCAGAAGTACAAGTGTAAGATTGTGAAGCATTGAATTTCAACAAAATTCTCCTGTTTGAAAAATGATTGAAGCAGATGAATGCAGGGCACTGTATTACAATCATTGAAAGCACTAGAAATAGATGTAAATTTAAAACAGCTGATTTTACAACTCCTTTTAAAGCTCTTTCTCTTATTTATTCATTTTTTGAAGGTTATGAGGATTATGATCACATGTGCAGCTCTGCGTAACTGTCCACTGGGAGATGATGATGATTCCTTAGAGAATATGTGCAAAGTCCTGGTTAACTATCAGCTTTCTGCTCCTTTCACCCAAAAGATTTGATAACTGCTTTTTACCAGATCTTCGTTTTTTGGGTTTTTTTTTTTTTTCCATCATGGTGTCTCTACCAGCTTAAATCATTTCCTAAAATGGTCCTTTTGCTGTTCCTTGCAATCCTGTTATTGAAGGAAGATGTCACTGGGAACTTCAGGCTTTTGGTTTCTGCACAGTCCAATGAAAGAAGGGTGGTTGCACACATGCCTGGTGATATTATCATTGGAGCCCTATTCTCTGTCCACCATCAACCAACTGTTGACAAGGTTCACGAGAGGAAATGTGGAGAGGTAAGAGAGCAATATGGCATTCAGAGGGTGGAGGCAATGCTGCATACCCTTGACAGAATTAATTTGGACCCCACGTTGTTGCCAAATATAACACTAGGATGTGAAATAAGGGACTCCTGCTGGCATTCTGCTGTGGCTCTGGAGCAGAGCATTGAGTTTATAAGAGACTCTCTTATTTCCTCAGAAGAAGAGGAAGGGATGGTGCGATGTGTGGATGGATCTTCATCATCTTTCCACTCCAAGAAACCCATTGTTGGTGTCATTGGACCTGGCTCTAGCTCAGTTGCTATCCAGGTCCAGAACTTGTTGCAGCTTTTTAATATACCTCAGATTGCGTATTCTGCCACAAGCATGGACCTAAGTGACAAAACCCTGTTCAAGTATTTTATGAGAGTTGTGCCATCTGATGCACAGCAAGCACGGGCTATGGTGGACATTGTCAAGCGCTATAACTGGACCTATGTTTCTGCTGTGCATACTGAAGGTAAGAGACTTTTTTTTTTTTTTTTCAACTAAGAATGCCTTTGAACTTCCTTGGCTTAGAAAACCAAACTTCCTTGGTAAGAAAGATCTGGCCTTTCTAGTGCGAAGCAGAGGAGATCCAAACTGTGTTTTGAAAATGACTGAAACAGAGTGTTTTCTTGTTTAACATCTGGGCCACAGAGACCTAAATGCTGGGAGACCTGTGGTTCTGGCTAATATTTGAATATAATTGCCCCAGTTATCTGAGAACAGGATTATCTCTGTCCTTCCTATAAGAACCCTGTGAAACATTGTAACCGCTTCTCCCATCTGGCCCTCGGTTTTGGGAGTGGTCAGAGAGAGTCTCCGTGAATCTTCTTCATGTACCTATTCTTCCTCTGGTATCCAGAAAAATCAAAGTTATGTGCTATATACCTTTCTACTTTTCATTAAGCTGAGATAGAGATCAAAGTTTTACACAGTAGTGAGAAGAGTATATGATTAAAGAGAAGTGCTGTGGAAGTTTATCTGATTTCATTATTCCTTGTATTAACAGTGTTTAATTGGTTCATGTTGCTATAAGTGATTAGAAGCTCATATCAACTTAAGAGGAAGATTCTCTAGTTCCTTGTCTAATGGCAGTACTATTTAATAAGTCTCCTTGAATTAAGTTCTGTAGTGAATTTTAGGATCTCATCCAGTCACTTCTATTCAAATAGATAAACTATGAATAGGAGGCTCTGAAAACCATTTTGGGAAATGAGAAATGTTCCTAGGCAATTGAGTAGTGGTGAAGGTGTTGCTGAACAGCAGATGCTACTGGCTTTATTGCAACCAATAGAAAGCAGATTGTTCTTCCCACACACTGAGTATGCTTCCCTGGCAGACTTCATACTATTCAAAGCTGTTTTCGAGAGGATGCTGATCCAATGCAAGTATGTAGAGATCTCTTTCCTCCTACAGATATGTAGAGAACTTGTTCTGCAATATTAAAAAAAATCAAAACCAATCCCGAGTCTTGTTAGAACCTACATGCAGGTTTTTGAAAATACTTCTTCCCATCTTGATAATGAAGGTTTGTAAATAGCTGTAGCTTCTTATATGTGGATGCATGAATATATTAGCAGTTTAATGTAACAGTGTACTGTTACCTACTTCATATCAGGTAGTGCTAACCAATGCCTTTGGCATGGCTTGTGGGCAGCCTTTCCTACACAAATTTATATATGAATAGCATCATGGTTAAAAATGATGCTACTGATGTACCACATATGTCTTGACTATTTTTTTATGACTTCTCTAACTTGTGCTTTGAAAAGCATTTTCATCTCTGCTTTCTGTGAGGAGATGGTTTTGCAGTCAATGTAAAAATGGTCAAGCTTAAATCAAAGTCTGAATCTGCCCAAATACTTTTGCCACTCCCTGTGGATGCTCTACTTGGAGCAGATGGTAACATATGGTATGTTAATCTTATGGCAGAGGAACTTTGAAATGTGTATTGGAAAGAAGGGACCAGGAACAAGGGACCAGGAACAAGGATTAAAGGTGGAAATATCTGCTATGGGTAAGGCAAATGTAGTAGATGATGGAGAAGTTGAACATCAAAGAAGAGTAATTGATGAATGAAATATCTAGTGTGCTTACTATTGTCATGGATGGGATGGATTACACTTGAAGTTAATACACAGGACCTCATATTATTGCTATCAGATTTACAACATTATAACTTTGGATTTCAGTGAAAAAAACATTGAACTTGTGTTTTGGAGATCTCATGAGCCTATCATCTATTTTCATTGTCCAGTCAAGATGATGAGTGTGTTCTCTAGTTAAATAATATAATGCAAATGTTGTCTAAGAATAGAACAGATGGTCTTTATAATGAGATAGATACAACCTGGTCAAGGTGTTTATCCAAAAGCATGATAATATCTGTTGTTCTGGAAAGTTTCCAAATATTATGGCAGATGCTGCCCCTACCAGGAACACAAAAGTTTTTTTTTTTTTTTTTAAAAAAAAACAATTAGAAAAGAAAACAAACAACCAATTCTTAGGTGTGTACTAAGGTGAGAGAATGCAGAAAAACAAGCAAAAGAATAATTATTCTGTTGTTATAGGATACTATCTAATTACCTTCTCTAGATGGAAGGAGGGCTAAAAATGATCCCTCTGCTTAGTTTTGACTTTTTTTTCTTTTTTTTTTTTATAGCCATTATCATCTCAGCAAAATATCTGCTTACTTGTAAACACTCTGAATACTGCCCATTCATTTCGTGGTCTACATACATATTAACTAAAAATATGAAAACAAAACAAAAACACATTGAACTCTGCTCCTTGTATTTTTATATACTTAAGATAAAGGCCTGTAGTAATTCTGACCATCTACATCTAGTATCTTCAGGTAATGTCTGTGTATTAGCTGTACTCTTTTGATATACAATCTCTGGTCCTTGGAAAGGATTTCCAAGCAGAAGAAGGATCCTCTCTTTTAAAGCTAGGCTTGGAGATAAAAAGCGAGAGAGAAAGCTAAGTGTTTATTTCATTATTTTGGTAGTTTTAGGGCTCTTTTTGGTCTAGCATAAGAAAAGCCTGGAGTAAGTGAATATCTTTAATGCTTTCCTGTTTGGATCTTCCTTCTGGTACTTACAAATCTTCTGTGTTTTTAGCGCATTAATATTTTGGGTTGCTTTGTTATTAAATACTGATTCAAGACCTTCACACACAAAAATTGACAGGTTGTCATGATCTTTCTTATTTTGACATTTAACTTTAATGGTTTACCTAGGTGTGCAAGTAACCCTTCAAAGCAGCTTTTTCCCTAAGAATGGAAAGGTAGCAAAATTGCTGTCAGTGAAACTCTTGTAATTTAAGGGAGGAATTTTCTGCAATCTGTTTAACAGGAAACATGAGCAACAGATGAAGGAGATTTCTCACCAAGAAATGTCATTTCCACTTAGTGTAATATATTTCACATGCCAACCAGAAAGCTTTGCAAGTTCTAGATAGTAACTCCCCATCCTTGGCTTTGCCTGGGATGACACACAGAGGAATGGCTGCTGCTCTCAGCATCTTCCCTGATTTTCCAACTCTTTGCAATTTGTGTAGTTACACTCTGAACTCATCTGTCTTTAAAATAAACCTTCTTCACCGGTATTCTCCAGAGGTATGGGTTCTGGGATCAAGGTCCTATTGGGCCCTCCCCAGCAAGAGATCTCTCTTCTCCAATCACTTTCCTATTAATGGTGTAGAACATTTTTCTGAGGCATAGGAGTCTGGCAATGATTAGCCCCCAGGCATAGTTCCCCCATTTCTCAGAGCATATTAGGTCCTTTTTAGTCCAAACATTTACGGTCCAGGCTATGCAGTTGAAGCACCTTTGGAGTTTTGCCTCAACTTTCTCTTGTTTCACTGCTTGGCACCGTGGGAGATCAGAAATGATTGAGAAAACTGGGAAGAAGTTGGCTGGCTACCACCAAAGACAAAGCACTGTCTCTTTATCCCATTTCACATCTGAAAGCATTCCCTAGTCTTCTCACAAGATCAGGAAAATATATAGTTTTCTCATCTCTTAGCCTTTCTATTCAAGGTTTCATTGAAAGTCCACTTGAATTTAACACTCCCCTGTTGACCAAGGTGATATTTGGATCCGGCCATTCTACTCAGAAACAAGGTTAGTCTCTGACAATCTGTCTTTTTTTTTTTTTTTGGCGGGGGGAGCCAAGTGAATTAATAATTTCAAAAAGCAACTTTTTTTTTTCACCTTTGAGAACCATTTAACCATTTATTTAGCCACTCTGAATAGAGTGAAGAGGTGGTGTATGCTGAAAAAAAGAGGTGCAATAAAGGGGAAACACAACAGAAAACACACATTTATTGGGGGTGGCGAGGGATAAATTTCACCCTTAAAGGTGTGACATACTTTTGAGCACAGCTTTAAGAAAGAAATCTCTTAGCACTTTCTTTAGAGATCTCTGCAGGTAAGCATCAGATAAAACTCATCATTAGGCCCTTGCTGCTTAATACCACTTTGCTCCATTTAAATTTATCATAAGTGCATATAAAGAGGTGATTCATCTTCATTTCCTGAGGACATGCCCAGTCAAGCATAGCTGAGTAGCAGAGAATCCAGAGAAGTTTTTTTTTTTTTTCTTTCTCTCTCTCTCTGTAGATAAGAGTTATTTCATATTTCCTTTCATATTTGTTCAGATGTGCCTGGTTACAAGACTATTTTTGCCAGCATTCCGTGCTACCAAATGAAGAGCAAAATGAAACTTAGTCATACTCTATGAGAAAAGGATGAAGGAATCAACAAAAGAACAGCAACAATTTGACCTTAAACCTGCTGCTTGGAACAAACTGTGCTTATATGATGCTATGGAAATTTTCTTTCAAATTACATTTTTTTTTCCTTTAGTTTCAAGCAATGGCATATTCGGTAATAGTGTTTGTTTTCTAGAACAGAAAATAATGTTTGAGGATTAGATTCCCTGGATTTTTTAAACTGAGGTATTGTTTTTGTGCTTTGTCTGTAGGAAAAAAAGTCTTAGAAGTGATGAACTGAGAGCGGTTATTAGTATTCCATGAACATGTTTTCATTCTCAATTAAACATTTTTTTTTCACATAAACCTCTCTCTGGAAAAAGGATAATCTGAAAACTGGACAATATTGTTTTTAACTAATTTCCTTTCATCGTTTCACCAAAAGAATTACTTGTTTATTAATTTTTGAAATTACTTTTATGTTGTGTTTTTCAATACTTTTGCAAGTATTTGTTTAAAACAAATATTGAGATCAGGATGATCACAATTTGTTATTTTCCCAATGGCATTTAATCTTTTAGCAAAAATAAGAAAAGCATACCTCCCATTACCTAAAAGAAAATATGGGAAATGTTTCCTACTCTGTTTTATTATATGTTAATTTAATGATTTTTTTTAGGCATGCTTGTTTTTTGATTTTTTTTAATGGGTTTATAGTGGCAAATTACAAATATTTATTCTAGCACCACAATATATATT